TCGTTTATGTCCACTATAATTTTAGGAAATCAGATAAGTGGCCGTTTTTTTTTCTTCCGTTATATATATACTACCGGATTAAAATGAATCATAGTGGTCATTTTATGTTATGATGTCTATTATAATATGATCATGATTGATTATATGAAGTCATTATGCTAACCTTTATCGGAAATAAGCATATTCTGGAATGATAACCCATAATTGAATAGAATAATTGTTAGTGCTAAATAAAAATTATAGTTTAAAGAGAAAAAAATGAAATATTATTAAATGGGCAATATTTACTCGATAAAATAAACTCTTCATTCATTTATCGAGATAATTTTAATTTTAACAAAATAATTTTTAAACAATTAAAATTACATTAATCATTTAACGAAAATGGAAAAAAATGAATAGAAAAATTAGTGTTAAAAAGATAAAATGGTATGCAGCTGGAAAAGTTAAGTTATGCTTTTTTTTTGATGCTTGCAAAGAATACAGACATTACATTAGCAAAGGCAAACTTTTTTCCGTTTTAATAAATGCAAAATTGAAAATTTAGTCAAACGATGAATTAAAACATATTGTAAACCATTATGTTTAATTTATATCATTAAATCAAGTGGAAAATAAAATTAAACTGAGAGAAAAAATTGTTGTTGCGATTTGATATTCACTTATAGCTCGGATGAATAATTTTAACAATAAGGATAGAATCAATTCAACCTGTTATTAGCAATAAAAAATTACGCAATAAATAATTATGTAAATGCTCTCATTATATTAGTTTTCAAAAAAAGCGAAAAGCTTCTAATTAACATCAATTTTCCAATTCAATTTTATCCCAACAAAGTAAATATCCTGCATGCATGCAGATATTTACTTTTTTGAATTCATGTAATTCAAATGCTTATTCAAAAGCTAATTTAATCAACTTAAAGTTAACGATGTTCAAATTGAAAATGAGTATTTATATAATAGACTAATTCAATTTTTTATCATTTTCTTCTGATATATCATAGTGAATAAAGCAGCGTGCTTGTTGAACGATATTTTTCAAATGATAAATTGTCCAGAAGAATTAGTCGTATCTTTTGAGAGATATCGGAATGTTGCTGAAGTAGAAGAAAGGATTAGGAAGGTAGATGGATAAGTGTGAGAGGACGATGATATTATATTAAAATATTCAACCGCAGATTTAGATTTCACATTTTATTCTGTTTTTGTGACAATTAGCTTCTTATGGTTTGCTTCATTTTTACTTGATTATCTTCTAACAATCTTCCAACAGTATTCTCTATTATCTTTTAGCAAAGGAGAAATAATATTTCGCTACTATCGGGTCAATTTCACATAATGTTAAAAATTAGGAAATGAAATGATAGAAATACCAATGATAGATTGATATTTGTTTGCCTTTCTGTAATCAAATAATTCTATTATTATTTAAAATCATTCCTTTGATTTTTTTTTCTTCGGCAAGATTTCTATGTATCATTAGCTAATTCTGCTACAGATATCTTGACTGAATTCAGTTGGAACAACTTTTCTTCCTGAACTTTCAACTTTGAATTGACATATATTTTACCCTTCTAGATATTGAACGTAATACATTCTTATTTTGTGTGAAGAAGTTTTTATCTTAGTTAACTAACTGTTACAAATAATGTAACAGTACTAGCTATCAGAAGTCATAAATTTCCTGAATATCATCAAGATGATACAATCTTACTTGTTAAAATTAAGATTTGTGATAAGTACTGATGAGAAAGAAATATATATCATTTAGAGAGAATTTGAAAAACTTTTAAAAATTTTTAACATCTCCATCGATTTAAATGAGATTGCTCAGATAATTTTGCTGAAAGTGTTCAAATTTTTGAAATGAACAACCAATATTGCATATCGAAAAATGCTAAACGATGACTCATAAACCAATTTAAGCAGATTTGTATAAAAGAATTCTAAATAAATGTAACCATCATTTTGAATTTTCTCATTGTACCCATTTAGCTGGCAAGTATTTACAACGCTCATTTTGTAATTTCTTTTACAGGACGGAAAAGCTTAAGGAAGAATAGAGCATGGCACTTAATATTGACCCACCTGAAGTTACTTTTCCTGCTGCTGGCGGCAGTACAACTGTTCATATTCTCAATCAAACAGAGGGCCGTCTGGGTTTTAAAGTAATATTTTTGTCAATTCATATTTTAGATTATCGATTTCTAATGTATAATTAAAGGCTTTGATTTCGTAAATATTTATAAGTATTGGTTCAAGAAATAAAATTCAAACTAAATAAATGTTAGATCTTAAGACTAGTAACCATTAGGAAAGAAACGATCAGGTTAATCAGCAATGCACATAATATCATCTGAAAAAAATTTAGCATTAGCAAGATTTAATAATTGATTGATTAGATCATTTCAATTAAAGCATGATTGAGCATAAGATTAATTAACGTTGAGTATAATGGAAAGAAAAATCTCTTGTAATAATTGATACAATTGATACTTGTAATAATTGAATAATTAATAATAAATATACCCTTTAATTTCTCATTCTCACTTTAATTCTTCAATCAATTTTGAAATATTTCCTTTTTTATTAAATAATCAAATGAAGTAGGATTGATTATAAAAGCTTACCTTTAAGATTCATTAAAAAATACAGGTAAAATCGACGAACAATGATCATTATCGTGTTACACCAGTGTATGGATTTGTTTCAAAAGGTGATAAAACTGAATTAACAATAATGCGCCTGCAAGGACCACCAAAAGAAGATAAATTTGTGGTGCAATGGGCTGAGGTACCGGATGAAGAAGATGATCCTCAGGCACCATTTAAAGCCGGAGCACAGGCTGGTGAAGTGATCCTACCTGTGAAAGCTGAATGAACTTACAATCGATCATTATTATCTTCACATTGCTTTTCCACCATCTCATATTCGCAATCGTAGTGATATTGTCTGGTGTAGAATATATTGTTCCCTTAATTTCTCAGCATACAAAACAATGATAACATTTATCAGCATGACATAATATTTCTTCGTAAATTATTATCATTTACGTATCAGCATTTTGGATGCACATGACCTTTTATCATTTACATATCAACATTTATTTCTACATTCTCGCTAATCCTATAATTTGGTGCTGTCGATATTACATCTGGAATTGACAAGACAAGAATTATTTAAATGATTTGCATAAACAACCGACCAAATTTGTTAGACTTATCAATTAAACGTAGAACTTACTTTTTTTTCATCTTTGCTTCTTTTTTACACATAAAATCATATTAACATATAGGAGTCAAATAACAATTTATTTCTATTTCTGCGGATTTTCAAAAGTTTTGCGAAACTGTTCAGAAATAATAGATTATTTGGTGCTGTACGGGAAACTTTTAACAAAATTCATTACTTTTATTATACACTGACATTTTTGATTTTTTCAAATCTCCAGCAATAACTGATTTCAAGACTTTCAATTATCAACTGATCGATAATCATCATTTGAAGAATTTCGTTGTTTTAGACCAATCTATGAAAAATTTAGATTTTAAAGAGAAAAAAACACTGTGCTAAAAAACATATTGGCATCTCCTACACAGATTATTTCTTTTCTCATTGCTATTTAAATATAATTGACGATTTGTTATAAACGATGAACAAAAAAAAAAAAAAAAGAGAATTTTAGAAGGAAAGGAAATTTGCATAATGGATTGTTACGCGAAAGGAAGCACGCGTTAAAATAATCTTTCTGTTAGTACAATAATTGAAATATAAATGACGCATTAGTGGGTTGGACACATAAATGTCTTAATTAATTCAAAAAATAGGAAGTGTAATCATCATAATGCCATGAAATCGATAATTTATTATAAGCAAAAATAGTCAAGAAAAATATCATGATCTAAACGTTCGTAACGAATCCTGCATTTATTCCTACTTGTCACGATGTCTGCTAATACCAATACGTACATCCTGGATTGCAATTATTTAATCAAATATTTAAAATTTCTACATGATAGATTCAATTTTTGGTTAATTTAAATATTTTGAATGAATGATCCAGAGAAAAAAAACTCAGTTAAATTTGATTACAACAAATTAAATTATGGAATAAACAACTCAGAACAGGCAGAGAGAAATTTGAAAGAAGATTTACAGATTTAAATAAAGAACACAGTGTCGAAGATAACGATTGCAGGTCCCGTGATGCGTCAGTGGTGTAATGGTCAGCATGGTTGCCTTCCAAGCAATCGACGGGGGTTCGATTCCCCCCTGACGCATGTGAGAAATCAATCTCGCTGTTTCGCAGCAATGAAAAGAAATAAATATAACAGATTATAGCCATCACGAAGAATATTTTAAAGCATCATTTGTAACATAAAGATTGACGCAAATTTCACTAATATCATCGGAGTGTTGATATTAGTGAAATGCTAAGTTCAAGTACAGTTATTTCACGTAAATTAATTAGATTAAAATAAAACTATGAATTATTAAGATCTAAATTAGATTGAAAATTAAAGAATTATATTCACGTAAGTTCTGCGTTGGTGCTATTCATTAAACTTTCACGGGATAATGAAATCCGATGTCTAAAACTAAAAAATGTAATTAAATAATGACTCCGTCAGATATATTCATTAATAACTTATCTTCACGTTAAAACGTTAAAATAATTTACCATTACCGAGAATATAGCGACTTTACCTTCACCATGAATCTTTGCTAAAATATTGTTTTATTACGTGATATTTTTCCCAAAGATTGTTCTAGACGGACTACGGTGGCTGTTACAGTACCCCACGACAAGGTATACGATATTGGATTTAACGAAAACAGATAACGACGATACTGTGGAAGTAATTAGATAGTTACGTGCGTCACTGATTTTCGTTACTCTGAAAAAGTGCGAACGGATAAGAAATGAAATAGTTTTTTAAAGGATGTATTTGGCTTTAATTTTTTCTTCATTCTCTTTAATGCAATTCTTTGCGCTATCAAAAATGACGAGAGTGATGACGAGATGTTAGCGTGATTTGGCAGACGTACGGATGATTGCATGATTGTAGTTGGATGTTATTGTTGGACAGGTTATGATAGGCAGGATAAATTTTGACATTTAATGAGAATAGTCCAAGTACTTGAATTTCTTGAGCTATTCAATATTACGTTTAGGGGATATATCGTTCAAAGTGGTAGAAAGCGGTGTTGACGAGACGAAAGTGCGAGTCGTAAGGTTTGTCGTATTTTTGAAGATCTTTCGCAAGATATCTCGGGACGATTGTAGAAATGGATGCGAAAAGTGATGAATTGATTGCTGAGTTACGGAAAGCTGTATCGATCAAGAAAACGGGTTACCATTTCTTGCATTTGATCTTTCATAGAGCACTTGGATTATCTCTACTTCTTAGAAGATGTAGAATAATCTTTATCGCTTACTTAATTAGTGGAATAAATTGACTTTTCTTGATATTTGTTTTTAGTCCTATTTTGATGCTTTTTATTGCAGAGGTGGTTCGCTTAAAGGAAGAATTCGATGACTCAAAAAAACGATTGGCACTGTTGACATCGGAGATTGCTGAGGGTCTGCCCAAACTCTTTTTTAAATTTTGGGATTTTTACTTTTGATAGGCAATTTTGTATATGAATTTTTTGGCATGTTTACATTAGATGGTATAACATATTAAACACTTAATTGATATATTCTTGATATGATAAATGTAACACTCTATAAAATATAGACTTTATTTCTTGTAGGACGAGCAAAGATAGTTGGTAATAAAATAAGAATTGCCGTTTTGGACGCTGACAAATCTACATGCATTCACATAGAAAAGTTAAATGTTGAATTGACCGACAAGTAAGCATATTTACGAGTTTGATTTTTCTTTACGAGCTTGATTTCAGCTTGATTTTTCCTCTTTTTTTCTCTCAACTTATCGATGGAACTCTTAAAATTATTTAGTTCATATGACCACTTACATATTACTTGTATTTATTTAAATTGCATGCTATTCCTTTTTTTATTAGTTATTGCTTTTTACATATTTTTTGAAATATTGCATAATTTTTGTAATCGCTTAGATTTGATGAAATGCGAAAACAAGTATTCGCAATTAACGAAGAAACAGAAAAACAGATTACCGAGTTGCAGTTGGAAATTGAAGCAGCAAAGGATGTGAAAAGCATTGTTAACACTTATGAGGAAACGCTGGGAATGTTACGTAGTATGGTAAATCTTTTTCTTCAATGTTTTTGCATAGTAACCGATTAATGCACTTCATTTTATGTTCTCAATTTCTTGCTCTTATCTGTAGCGAAGATACGAAAATAAATTTCGCTGCTTTGAATTGTAAAATATAATACGGAAAGCTAGAACTGTTCATTTCTGCAATTGCTGCTGAAATTAATTGTTTCAGAGATTTGATCACAGCGATGGCATGAGTGATACACGTAAAGATATTGAGAATGCACAAAACGAATGTATGCCATTCATTCTATTTTAGACATTTATTACGATTCGTTTTGACATTCATTGAATAGGCAGTTAATTTCATGTTTCAGTACGGTTGCTGTTAGATGAGGTGCAAATTTTTGAAGTGAATGAAAAGACACTGAGTGATAAACTGAAAACCGTTGCATATGCTGATATTCCACTAGCAGTTAAACAGCAAATTTAGTGAGTTTTGTTTCCAACTTACATATTTTGATAATAATTAATTGTGCAAAATAAATCAATTTCTATTCATTATTCAACTTTATGCTGATGATGGTGATCTCTTTTGTTCATCTTTAGTTATTTGTTTTAATACTTCTTTGGGGAATTCAATGTACTTTCTTATCAAAAAGAACAAGATTAAATCGCATAGGGCTCTTCAGAACAGGAATTCATTTGCAGCCACGATTTGAAAAAGCGCAAAGGGGAGTTAATTCGCAAGCTTATGCATGCACGATTCAGTCGAACCCGTCTGGATTCACGATTTGTGATGAACGATTTGTGAGTACATTATGCTAATATGAAACTGAGGATTAAGTACAATGTAAGCACATTATACCAATGTGTTGTTATGTTATGAAACTGAGTATTAAGTATTAAGTACAATATACAGTGCTAATAGGTAACATTTTTGTTGATGGCAAGTGATGGGTACTCATAAAAGAGCCATGGCCTCTGCGAAAACTACAAGTATTTCATCAACAGTTAATTTTTTCGTGAATTTGAACTTCTTCATAATCGGTCGTGCAATGTATTTCGGGAAAGAATTGAGAGGAGATGATTTTTGTACAGAAGGGGCAATACTCGAAGAATTTGATGTGGATAGTAAAATGGACTTTTTTTTTCAAGTGGACAGAGAAATCAAATATGAAATGACACGGTTATTTCATATTTTATGTTCAGTGATCAGTCTTTGCTGATTCATTTTATTAATTTGTGAATAATTTTGTTAATAACAAAGTATTTGAGGTGTAGAATTGCATTTTCAGCAAACTTCAAATCAAAGGATTTATCAGTAGAAACATTTATTCACAATCTTATAGCTGTTACACAGACAGACACTGAAACTAATTTTGATGTGATCCGAGATGTGCAAACTGCGATTAACATACTTGAGATTTAAACCAAGAATTAGAGAGAGAGAGAGAGAGAGAGAGGCAACGGTGCCTCGAATACAGTAGTATGCTGATACTCAGAATGATAACTTTATTTGCTGGAAAAATTTCCAAAATATCAATAATTGATTGTTGTTCTGCAATTTAGATGCATGTTGTGTTTGCGTGAGTGAAACATGTAAATGAATAGCAATTTTAATTTTTTGAAAGTTGGAATAAATTTCAAAAGAAACGAAATGGATATTGAATATAATAGAGAGTAAAAAGCATTAGTATCGTAACTTTCTATTCTGAGAGAATATCATCCTTTCCAGACATTTCTCAATTAATTATCTCTCCGCTAACTCAACCAATACATGCACCAAAACGAAGAATTCTAGACATGAACGTAGCACTGTTATTGCCCAAATTTGTAATGGTATTTGAGTGACAAAGCACAGAATCAGTAATATATTAGCGAAATTACGAATTTGGAAATTTGGTAAAAATAAGGGTGGGAGGAATAGTACTAATGTGATCACATTGAATGCTAATGCAAAGTAGTCGAAATACAAATGCGTTCGGATGATTTGTTTATTGAAAGTTAAGAGCGCACGGAGAAGACCAGTGGCGATCGTCACGATTACCTGAGAGTGATCATTTATTTATACAAGTTATCAATATCGATTGAAACTCCCTGAGGTCAAGTAGGTATGTAAGTGGTCAGTGTATTGCACAAGTACCCATTCAAATAATCATATGATCATACCATACTTTTAAGGTCGAGTTTGTATCACACTTGGAATTATTTCTTTTAATTAATCTACTTTAGATGCTCTTTGCTATGAAATTCATTCATTCTGCACTGACTTTTGGAAGCCCTAACTCGAAATACTCACAAGATCGTAGGCCAATATGATATATAGCGGTATGGTATGTGTTACAATTGAGTTGTAGGACATTCCGAGTGGTGGCCACAGCCTGCAACACATCTCTCTTTATCTCTTCTGCAAAACTTTGGCTTGTGGAAGCGTTGGCAATTGACTTCCTTTGATGCGTCAGGGGGGAATCGAACCCCCGTCGATTGCTTGGAAGGCAACCATGCTGACCATTACACCACTGACGC